GGCCGCTTGCAGAGCTTGTTGGTCCACCGCGCGTCGAGCACCAGCCGGAGCATGTTGTTCTTCTTCTTGACGAAGAAGCACCCGACCCGACTGTGGACCCGACGCCGCCAGGTGAGCAGACCGCTGCCCGACAAGGCCGTCAAAAACTCGATCATGTTGTGCCGTGACCCTTTGAGAACCGGGTCCCAGTACGGCTTGCCTCTAAGGGCTCCGCTGTCCACGTCGGCGGCGAGCTCGGCGTCCGACTTCAAAATGTGGGTGGCTGGGTCGAGGATGAACTCGGCAGCCGTCGCTGAAGTGATGGATGATACTTCCTTCGGCTGCAGGTCGCCCCGAGCCACGCGGAGTCGAGAGATATCATAGGTGCCCAGCGCGGCACCGCCAGTCAAGGTGTACAAGTCATCTGAGTGGAGGATGTCGGACAGCGCGGCCGACTCGCTCTCCAGCGGCAGATCCTGAAGCACGGGATCCAGGGCCGCGGAGGCGCGCTGCAAGGCCCGGCGCTGCCAGGCCGAGCACGCATCGAAATCGAGTTCACTGCCACGAAGCCCATGAAGATGTGGACGTCGCGGCTGCGCCCGAGACAGGCTGGAGAGGGCCACGGCGTAGTCGCCGAGGAGCCGCTCCCGCAAGGGCGTGCCCTGCACCAGCCTCGAGATCGGCTGCCGAGGCAGCGGAGACTCCGCCCCCGCCAAACGGACAGGGGACGGTAGCGTGTCCCGAAGAGAAAGGGCCGCCGGACGTTGGGACCACACGCCGGCGGGACCGCAGCACGGCGTTAGCCGTCGCCGTCCTTGCCGTGCTTCTTCTTGTCCTTCTCCTTCCGCTTGGCCTCGAGCTCCTCCCGGAGCAGCCTGTTCTGCTTGAGGATGCGGGCCTCGACCTCGGCCTGCTGCGCGAAGTAGGTCGTGAACTGCTGCGTCGCCACTCCCCCCTTCTCGTCCTGGTTGTGCTCGATCATCTTGTGCAGGCCGTCGAAGCATGGGGACTTCGGATTGACCTTCACCGCCCGCTCGATCATCACGATCCGTCGGGCCGCCAGCTCCAGCGAGCCGCAGTTGGTTGGATCGAGCCCGTCGTACCCGACCGCCAGCCCCAGGATCTGCAGCAGCATCCGGTGCTCCCAGGCGACGGCGCTCTCCGCGTGCACCCCGGACTCGCGGACCCAGTGCACGTGGTACGTCGCCGTCGAGAGCCCCAGCGCGTGGATGCCCTGGAGCAGCTCGACGACCGCGCGTGGCCCCGGGTGGGGCCACGACGGCATCTTGGTGAGCTCGGCGGGCCTGAAGTTCTGCATGGCCAGGCCGAGCGGCTGGGCACCAGCAGCAGCGTCGTGCGACGCCGAGGACGCCAGCCGAGGGTCCCGGCCTGCGCCTGAGTGCTTGTCCACCAGCCACGCGCCCACCTCGCTGTTCGGCACGAGCTCGACGGCCAGCCAGCGCCCCGGCTGGCCAACCAGCGCCAGCCCGACTGAACCTCGCTTCACCCCCGTCGCCGCACCCTCGACGACGTCGGCCGCCACCTCCTCGCCGAACTCGACCGCTGAGGTGTCGGCCACGCGCCAGCTGGTCTGGGGCATGGTGCCCCCAGTCGGGGCCGCACCTCCAGTCAGCACGGCCGCCAACCGCGCCGCCTGTGCGTGCAGCGACGCCAGGCGCTCGGGCAACGTAGGGTCGCACATCCTGACGTCGCCCGCCTGGGCGTCCCCGACGCGGGCACCCGGGGCCAGCGTCACCAGCGTCCGCCCGGCCAAGTCGACGCTCTCGATCCCCTCGTCCGGGAAGCACGCGACCCACACGGCCTCGCGCAGCCGCCGCAGCAGCACCAGGTGATGCCACGTGTGCGTCGCGTGCGCGTCGTCCCGCAGCAGGATCTGCGGCTCCTCGACCGCGAGCGCCCGCTCTGCACCGCCGAAGCCTGCCATGGCCATCCTCAGCGCCGAACCTCACTCGCGGCGAGCGCTGCCAGCACGGCGGGCGTCGCCGCCGCCGCCGGGGCGTCCCGCCGGGCCGGCGGAGAGGACGGCTTCGCAGCCGCGCGGCCGCCCCCGGCTCCACAGCACCCGGCCGCCAACAGCGCGAGGCAGCTGGACGCAACGCCCAGCACCAGGCCCGCGCAGGCGAGCGCGACGCAGGCGAGGCGGTACCACTCCAGGTCCCCGCGCGCCTGCAGGAGCTCGCGCAGCTCCTCGTCGCACGAGCAGGCCAGCTCGTGCGACGGCGCCGGTGGCTCCACCGGCGGCGCCACAGGCGCGATGGGCCAGACAGATTGCAGCAACCACGCGGTCGCGGCCACAAAGGCGGTGGCCCAGGGGAGCTGGTCGGAGTGCATTGGCATGAACCACAACGCCTTCGGAACCAACCCCTCCCACTGCAGATAAGACGCGTACAACTGGCAATCTCGGGGCTCGTGGTGGCAATTTCGGGGCCGTTTAGGGCATATCTGGGGCTACGCTCCTGCAGTCCCTGAGGCCCGACGTAGCGAGAAAATTGCAACATCGTGAAAAACTCCCGCCCGGAGCCCTAGACCGTATCTTCCTGCGTCGTTGTTCGGGTCGGATCGATCTGTGAGGCTCCAGGAGCCCGAACAGAAACGAAACCGCCCAGCGGACGTCCAGTCGCAATGCGCTGTTCGGCTTCGTGCGTTTTCTCTGTACCGCAGGGCGTTCCAGGATTAGGTCGGGCATGCACCACATTCAAGCAAACATCCAAATTTGGCGACCGACAAATAGAAAAATCGTCCCAAAACTATTATCTGACTATTTTGAATACTTCTATAGAGGGCCCCCCCCCATTTTTCTCCAGGGTGTTCCTCGATGGTGCGCGCCGAGAAAGAGTGCAAACGTCCGAAGCGTGCCGCGGCCGCCGGGTCCCAAGTTGCCCCCGAGCGTCCCCGAGCGTCCCTGGGAGTCCCGCCTCGCGCCCTCGACAGACGCGAAAAAACACAGAGCAATACACAACAGAACATGACAGAACATGGCACAGCGATAGCATGACAAGCGCAGCGTAACACAACAACCCGAAGCACAGCATGGCAGAGCACTGCAGATCAGGGCACGGCACAGCACACCATAGCATAACAGGACCGAGCATAGCATTACACGCATTGACGGTACATGTCATATCATGACACAGCGTTCAGAACAGGTCATAACACACCAACGCAGCGTAGCGACGAACACGACAGAACACAACATGCCACAATATAACATGAAACAATATACATACGATCATGACATAGCCTGACGAAGCATCATATGTCAATATATTTGCAAGACAACCCGTGGTAAAACAACAGAGACCATGTCCTATCATATTCTGACAGACTAGCACAACATGAGAGACATAACACGACATAACATAACCTATCATGGCTGAACATGCAAGAGCAATGCATAGCCTGATGCAACGTAACGCATCACAACATCCCATATCGAACATGACAGAACATCACATGGCAACTCATGCCACACTACAGCACAATGTAACACCACGAAAACATACAATGACATAACACTGCAGGACATGGCATGACATAACACGCCATAGCAGAACAGGACCGAGCATAACATAACACACCTTGACGGGGCATATCATATCACGGCACAGCGTTCAGACCACGTCATAACACACCAGCAGAGCATAGCGACCACTACGACAGAACACAACAGGTCACGACAGAAGATATCATGGCATAACGCGACCATGACATAACATAAGCAGTATGGTTCCACACCAGACCATGGCAGAACATCACATAACATACCATACCATACCATGCATAACATAGTATACATAATACGACATACCAGAACAGAGCATGCCAAATCATGACAAAGCAATGTATGGCATGAAAGAACAGAGCTCAACATAACGTCACATAACAAACCAGAGCAGAACGTCACATACCAGATAACCACATAACATCAGATAGCAGACCAAACCAGAGCACATGATAACATCACAAAACAAACCAAAACCAGGCCAGACCCCCAGTTGTCCCGAAAATCCCCGAGTCCTTGCCGCCGCCCCGCTGCGGGCGGCCTCCTCGCCTGCGCCCCTCAGTCTAAGGATGAGAGGGGGGAAGAAGGAGGAGGGGAAGGAGGCATGGGGCAGGAGGAGGAGGAGAAGGAGGAGGAGGAGGACAGGGACCCAAGGTTCCGGTGGGGATCGCTCGAAGCAAATAATCGTTTCTTCTTCGACTCACCTCTTCTTGAGCCAAATCTCGGTGGCGAGCCCAGGGGGGAGCATGAGAAGGAGCGGGCCTTCTCAGAAGGCTCGGAAGTCCCCGGACTTCTGAGAAGTTTTCTGAGCCTTCCCCGAAGACGCAGAAAACCTCTCAGAAGGCGCGAGGGCTTCTGAGAAGTTCCGCCGCCTACTGAGGAGGCCTTCTCCTTCTCACTTCGTCGGCTGCACGCAGGAGTGACCCTGGGCAAGAGTGACCTTTGGTGGGCGGCTTTGTCGGGGCCGCGGGGGGGCCCAACACAAGCGCGCAAGACGCTACTATCGTAACGAGCGCGGCGATCGGGGGACCCCATTGGGCCCGCACCAAAAGTCACTCCGGCGAAAGGTCAATCTTACGTCTAGTCGATTTCCCCGCCACGCTCGCCGCCGGAAATCGTCGGCTGACCTTAGAAGCATCCTGCTCCAGCGTCAGCCCACGGCCATGCTGCGGCCTTGAAGGGGAACTGGGATACACAAATCATAGACCCACACAGAACCAGATTCCCCATATCTCCCCATGTTTTCGGGGCTCCTGTCTTCCCCCCCACTTCCCATATTTTCCACATGTTCTGGGGAATCGACGATTCATTGTGTCTGTGTGTTTTTTTTGAAGGGACCCCAGGACACACAGACAAATACACACAAATAAGATAATTCCCCATATGTTCCCACATGTTCTGTTTTTTTTTGTCTTGCCGCCCACTTCCCATATTTTCCCATATTTTCCTGGGAGTCGACGATTCATTGTGTCTGTGTGGTTTTGCCCCCTCCCGAGGCCTGTCAGTCCCACGAGGCCTCCGCGAGCCTGCCAGTCTGGTGCTCGACGACGACGCCCTGGCCGCCCCTGCCGCCCAGGAGGCTCTGCGCGGACTCCCCCTCTCGGGGGAAAAGGACACCGCATGGGCGAAGCCCCCTCCGTAGAGGGCAGCAAATCCACCCCGATGACGACCACCCCGACACGCGAGGCCTGTAGTAAACGCGCCCACAGAAGGAATCGGACAGGGCAGGGCTGTTCAGTAAATGAGACAAGGCTAGGATCGGGATACATCGCTCCAGAGCGTTCCGGAGCGCTCTCAGAGCGTTCCGGAACGCTCTGGAGCGGCCGCGGCGCCCAATACATCCTCCAAACCCGCCGATTCTCAGAGATTTCGAGTTGTCCCGATCCGATTTTGTCCCGATCTCCGCGTCGTTTTAGTAACCGCCCCGGGCCGTGTTGTAAACGCCAAGCGTCCGGTCCAGGTGGTTTTTCCTCCCTTGACTCCGAGGGGCCGCGCGGGACCCCGCGAGCCTGATTCGGGAAGACCGGAAACAGTGGAGATGGGGAGTGCTTTCTGCAGGTGCATCCGGCCAAGCCGCCCAGTCTTCTTATGTGAGGCCGCGTCTTCCTCGTAGAACTAGGGGGTTACTAGGGCTGAGGGTTTTTTGTTCTCGTTGTCCCTTGGGTCGGCGCCGGCCCGCCCCCCCCCCACATCCCCCACACCCATGCCCTGGCGTGCGGAACGCGCCGGTGGGCGGCACCACGCCGCCTGGGGTGCGGGGAGGGGGAGTCGGAAAGCGGGAGGCAAAAGCGGGAGGCGAAAGCGGGAGGCGAAAGCGGGAGGCGAAAGCGGGAGGCGAAAGCGGATCGGCTCATGCTTTCGGCGGTTGACGGTGGTCGTGAATGTGTCTCTGTCCTTGGCGTGCTTGGGCCCTTCCTTGTCGTGTTGGGGTCCTCCTTGTGTCGTGTTGGGGTCCTCCCTTTGGGTGGGGGGTCCAGTGACGACTGAAGAAGCCCGCGCGGACCCCAGGAAAGACAGGCCTTCGAGACAAATTAGCGAACACTCATGCCACATTCATCCGTCAACGCCTCCCCCTCCCCCTTCGACCGCAGTCTCCCCTGCGCGTGCCAACATTGAGTTTGGGGGGGAGGGGGAGTGTTCAGTAATTGTTTCCCTCTACCGGAGGGAGCAGAACAAGGGTCAATGGCGAGCCGCCGTGGGGAACTCCTCGGAACGCTGCCTTTGAAGGGGAAGCACCATGAATCCGGGCAGGAAGCAGCGGAGCGACACGCTGACGTGCTCCCCCACCAGAGGAACAGTCAATAGTGAAGGGGCCCTGGGACACACAAATAAATACACACAAATAACAAGATTCCCCACATTTTCCCATATGTTCTGGGCTTCTTGTCTTCCCCCCCTACTGCCAATATTTTCCACATTTTCTGGGAATCGACGACTCATTGTGTCTGTGTGTTCTCCCCCCCTGAAATCGCACAAACACGCTCTCTCGGAGGCCCGCGCAGATTCCCTGGATCGGCGCTGGGACCCCCCCTCCCCGGCGCGCGGAGCGCACCAGAGGCGGCGCCGCACCCCGCCAGGGGGCTCAGCGCCGATGCCTGAAATCCGCGCGGAAGGCTCCTCCTCCTCCTCCTCCTCCTCCTCCTCCTCCTCCTCCTCCTCCTCCTCCTCCCTCCTCCCTCCTCCTCCTCCTCCTCCGCCTCCTCCTCCTCCTCTTCCTCCTCTTCCTCCTCCGCCTCCTCCTCCTCTTTTGTTCGACCAGCGGCAGCGTGCCACTGACGCTCTCGCTCCGCCCCCACCCCCTGCCCCGAGCAGAAGAGAGCGGGCCGTGCCCGAGCCGTCTCTTCGACCCCTCGGCCTCCGAGATCATGGGCGGCTCCTCGTGGGCATCGATGGCTACACGCAAGAAGGACCCTGGGTACGAGTGACCTTGGGTGCCGGGCTTCTGGGGGGCCGCGGGGGGACCCCGTTGGGCCCGCACGCAAAGGTCACTCTGGCGAAAGGTCACTCCTACGTGTAGCTGGTCGCATGGGGGAAACGGGTCATGAATGAAACGGGTCCTGGACCCTGGGACCTCCCCCCAGGACCAGATCTTCACCCTGCGTCACTCTCTGACCGTCCCAGGGGGCCCGTGGAGAGGGCCCCCGACAACGCCCGAGACGACGGTGAACGACCTCAGGGCCCGCCTCCCTCGGGACCTGAGTTTAGGGGAACGAGACATGACATAAAAATAAACACTGAGAGGTCCGCGCGGATTTCTCGGACCGGCGATGGACCCCCCTCCCTGGCGCGCCTCCAGCGCCAGGGGCGGCGCCGGCGGCGCCACCGGGGGTTTGCAGCGCGGATCCGAGAACTCCGCGCGGACCTCCGAGTTTTGGTGTTTGTGCCATTCTTCGTTCCCCTGGTGTTCGGGAGCGGCCAAGAGGGGGGGTCCCAAGAGGGGGGTGCAAATCATGACCGGCGGCATGTGCGCAGCCCAGCGGGGGGGCCAGGGACGCAATGAACTAAGAAGAGGCGCCCTAAATCTGAGGAAACATCACGGCCCCCGCCATGCTATCCACCCCCTCCTAGTTACCACCCCCCTCTTTGCCGCCCCCGAGGTGTACACCTGGGCGACACCTCTTTGGACGCCCGAAATGGGTACGGAATGAATGGGTACAATACCCAACATCAAATCTTCCCAAACCAACAGCGGCCGCTGTTGGGCAGGCGGCCTTCTGTCCCAAATGGACAAAGGCCGCGGCGACACCGACAGCGAGTCCTGCTCAAAATAAACAGGAACTGCTGTTGGGCATTGTACCCCTTCCTTCCGTACCCTCGTTCGTGCCGATCCTCGCCGGGGCACACGCACATGGCCTCCCTGCCGGCGGTGAAGAGGGCGGCGGCCGCCTCGTTGTCGTCGCCCGCGCCCCCCGCGGTCGCGGGGGACTGCGCGCGCCGTGCCTCGCGGGGCGGGCAGGGGCTCGGGGTGCTCGGCAAGGCTCGGAGGGCAGGGGCTCTGGGTGCTCGGCAAGGCTCGATACTGTGGAGGCCAGTCCACGAGAAACCTTCCGCAAGACACCCAACCCTGAGACCCCAGGACGTCCATCGATTCTTGGCGTGGGAGCGTCTCGATGTCCATCGCAGAACCATCGGAGCCCAAGAGACCCAGGGCACCCCTGGGGGCAAGCAGGGTGCTTCTTGGCATGGGTCTCCACTGTACGACGCGGGATGTGCAATGAGATCCGCCACAGTCTGGGCGCCTTCGGTGGAGCTGAGCGGGCGAGCGCACAGTAGGCTAGCACCAGTCCTGAGGATAATCCATCTCTCCGTGGCGATCGACTCGACGTTAGCAGGGGATATGTCGACCCCCATCTCAGGCTCCGCGGGGGGTACGAGCGAATCCGAGCTTTTGGGCCGAGCTTTTGGGCGGAATCCCGGGATATACGACGGAAGGGGCGTCCATCCTCAATATGGGGGTGCGTCCGAAGAGCCTCCTTGGCGTGTTTCCCATGGAATTTCCGGATTTTTCCTGAGCGCCCAAGATTGTCAAGCGGAACGTGGAGATCGGGGAAGAACATTCGCCTGCGATGCACGAGGTCCAGAGTGCCCCAAGGGCTCCGAAGTGGCGGGAAAGGCCCGGGTGTCACTTCTGGCCAGGACCACTGCAGACAGCACCCGGAAGATGGAGGGGCTGCGGCTGAAGCGCGCTCACGCCGCGGGGACGTTGGTGGTGGCTTCTGGCGCAGCGCGGCGCTCCGACAGCGGGGACCGATTGATGTCGGCGCCCTTCCATCGTGAACGCCCGCGCTGGCGCAGCCACTGACTGCGCCGATGCCGACGCGAAGGCGAGGTGTGACAGCATCTCGCAGCGGATGGACTCGCCACCTCCAAGAGCCAGCATGCCAGGGAGCTGCATCGGGCGCCGCGGCGGTTCCAGAACGCTCAGCAGAAGACTCTCCGGTGGCAATTCATGGGAGCCTGCCATACCACCTCGTCGGCTCCTGCGAATCGACGCCAGTCGACGCTAAAGCGACGCTAGTCGATGCTAGTCGACGCTGATCGACGCTGAATCGGCGCTGTCTCACCGACTCCCAGACGCTCATCGACGCGAGTCGACGCTGGAGACGGAACTAAGAGGGTATACCAGGCTCCCATGTCTTGCCACCGAACCAGAGCACGCAGAAGTGCGGGCAACGTCGATATCCATGTCCAGTGCGTCTTGGAGTTTCGGGCTCTCTTCCCCAAAAACATGAGGCGCACTGGATATGGATCAAAATCTGGCCCCAAAAAGCTAGATTGTATCCACATCCAGCGCGCCTCGGCCATGCTGCGCCCCTTCCAAGAAAAAGTCCAAGACGCACTGGATATGGACATATAAGTGTCGCCCGCAAGAAGAACACACCTGGGAAAATTCCAGGACGCCCTGCTCGCCATCGCTCGGACGTCCACTCCCTGTGTGGTTTTTTTCGGTTTCGTGCGTGGTTTTTTGTCGCCAAATGATCAAGGATGCTCCTCGAGGGCCCTCGCCGACGGAAAAAGATGCACACGTCCGAGCGATGCCAAGCCTGGAGTCATCTGCGGACGGGAGCTCTCTTGCTTCGCGTGCCGCCGCGGCGGCTGGCCACCCGCGGCACGCCGTGCCGTGCCGGTGGCTGGCGCGTCGCTCTCGCCGCTCCACGGGGGCGGCGGGCGCGGACGGCGCTCGAGGCGCTCGCGCCGGGGGGCTGCGAGGTGGACAGCGTGCCGCGCCGAGGAGTGGTGGGGTCAGAACCGGCGGGGCGACACTAGAAGAAGAAGAAGAAGAAGAAAAAAAACACCATAAGCACAAACTATTCCGCTTCGAGCGGTTCCCACCGAAACCTGAAGCGTCTGCTCTCGCCGGCGCGCGGTCGACAGCTGTCTTGACTGGATTCAAAAGCGGTTCAACCGTGTTTCAATGTAGTTACGTGCTTCTTTATGTGCTCTAGTCTGGCCTGTTCTGTTCTCGACGGGCCGTCGTGACGTCGTGACGCCTGTGGCGTTAGATGCGTCAATTGTTATGATGATCCTCTTCACTTACCTGTTCTCTTCTGATTGGGTACGCATGCTCATCTCTGCCACCATTTGCTTTGAGATGTCATGGTGTGGCATGGTCCGTGGTGCCATATGATGTTGTAATATGCTATGTTACGTGATGCTGTTGGCAGCTCGGCTCAGTAGAGTATCGGAGGTGAGGGGGTGAGATCGAAGTGGAACGGAGAGCCCCCCTACCGGGAAATCGATTTCGGTTTCGTGTTCGTGCGTGCCGTGCGTGCGGGCGAGGCGAAGCTGCGTGGGCGGGCGAGAGGAAGGTCTCCTGTGGCTGAGGCGCGGCTGGACCAAATGATTCTCCACCGGGCGGCCAGTGGCGCGCGGTGTCCCGCCGGTGTCCCGGTGGTGTCCTCTGTGGCTGAGGCGCGGCCGGACCAAATGATTCTCCACCGGGCAGCCGGTGGCGCGCGGTGTCACGCCGGTGTCCCGCCGGTGTCCCGTCGGTGTCCCGTCGGTGTCCCGATCATGATGTTGATGATGATGATGATGATGATGATGATGATGATGATTCTGATGTTGATGATGGCGATGATGATGATGTTGGTGTTGTTGATGATGATGACGTCGATTGTGAGATCGATTGTGATATCGATAGTGATACCGAATGTGAGATCGATTGTGAAATCGATGGTGAGATCGATTGTGAGATCGATAGTGAGATCGATAGTGAGATCGATAGTGAGACCGAATGTGAGACCGAATGTGAGATCGACTGTGAGATCGATTGTGAGATCGTTAGTGAGATTGACAGTGAGACCGAATGTGAGACCGAATGTGAGATCGATTGTGAGATCGATTGTGAGATCGATAGTGAGACCTAATGTGAGATCGACAGTGAGATCGATAGTGAGACCGAATGTGAGACCGAATGTGAGATCGACTGTGAGATCGATTGTGAGATCGATAGTGAGATCGACGGTGAGACCGAATGTGAGACCTAATGTGAGATCGATTGTGAGATCGATTGTGAGATCGACTGTGAGATCGATTGTGAGACCGATAGTGTGATCGATTGTGAGATCGATAGTGAGATCGATAGTGAGACCGAATGTGAGACCGAATGTGAGATCGACTGTGAGATCGATTGTGAGATCGATAGTGAGATCGACAGTGAGACCGAATGTGAGACCGAATGTGAGATCAATTGTGAGATCGATTGTGAGATCGATTGTGAGATCGATAGTGAGATCGATAGCGAGATCGATAGTGATATCGATAATGAGATCGAATGTGAGATCGATAGCGAGATCGATTGAGTGAGACGTTGGTTCCCCCTCCCCCCTCACCTCCTTATCACCCGCAGGGTGGTCGTATAGGTAGTATGATTCGATATGTTGCACTGTTGTGCTAGGATCGGTTATGTACTGCTGTCATGGTATGGCCTGATGTGTTACGACATGGTATGTAATATGTGATGCTTCGCTATGTTATGTAATGGTGTTGTCTGGCGTATTATGTTATGTCAAATTATGGTATTGTACGTCATGTAACTCTGGGTTAATGTTATCTTTGTTGACGACTTGGTATAGTACGGTCTGCTCTGCTAGTATGTGCCGCTATGCTCTGCTGTCGTGTCATGACATGTTCTGCGATGCTATGCAATGATGTGATAGGTTATGCCAATGTGTGTCATGTGATGTCGGCTGTGTTTTGTTACGTCGGCTATGTCAGCCAAACCCGAGCGCGCAGGCCAATGCTGGGGGGACTTCTGTGAGGCCGCACCAAAAAGGTCACTCCGGCGAAGGATCACTCTTGCGCGCAGCCGACCCCCCGCCGCTGCCGTCGTCGCTCGCCGCCGCCGCCGGGCAGCGCGTCGGACGGCGAGGGCGAGGCGGGCGCGCCCAGACACCCGCAGGGGAACGAGCAATGACATAAGCATAAAAACTCGGAGGTCCGCGCGGACCTCCGAGTTTTTATGCTTATGTCATTGCTCGTTCCCCTAACCCGAGGCCCCGGTCGGCCGCCGCCGCCGTCGTCGTCGTCGTCGTCGTCGTCGTCGTCGTCGTAATCGTCGTCGTCGACTGGCCTTGATCTTCTCCCAGCGGGCCATCCAGCCTGGCCTGGAGCGCGGGCCCCTCGCCTGGTCGAGCCCGTCCCTGTGGCGCTGGCACTCGGGGGTGACGTCCTCCAGAGCCTCGGGGTGCGGGTCGAACCCGAGCAGGCCGCCGATGTCCTCGCGGCCAGACGGAGCAGGCGAATTGGACAGACAGACGTAGGGGAACGAGCAATGACACATAAACATAAAAACTCGGAGGCCCGCACGGAATTCTCGGATCCGCGCCAGACCCCCCTGGCGGCGCCTCCGGCGCCGCCCCTGGCGCGCTCCGCGCGCGAGGGAGGGGGGTCCAGCGCCGATCCGAGAAAGCCGCGCGGACCTCCGACTTTTTATATTTATGTCATTGTTTGCTCCCCCAGATGTCCTCGCGGCCGGACGGAGCAGGCGAATTGGACAGACAGACAGCCTCGGAAGGGGTGGGCGCCGGACCCGCGCAAGGCACGAGCAGTGCAGGGCAAAGGCTTGCACACATCCACTGCTGGGAAGCTGCTCCAGGGAGCGATGGACGTGGACAACAGCCCGGCGGCTCCGGTGGGACCGGCTCCCCAAGCGGTGGACGCACATGAGCCCCAGGCTCGGGAGATGAGACATCCGCGGGAGTCCTTGCGGCAGATGTCTCACTCTCGCCTCTCGCTGTCCAATGTGTGTGTGTGCGTGTGTGATGGTGTGTGAATGTGTGTGTGTGTGTGTGTGAGTGTCTTCCCTCGGCCAACGTCCTCGCGGCCAAGGGAGCTCAGGCGCCGCACCGCCACATTCAGGTGCTCCTGCCTGGGCAGGTCCTGGCGCACGAGGATCCTCGCGGGCTCGAGTCCCAGGTCCTCGGGGTCTCCCAGCCGTATCTCGACCTGCCCCGCCACCTTCGGCACGTCCGCCCTGGCCTCCTCTCGGGAAGGAAGCACACACCGATGCCGCTACCCTTCTTGTGTTCTCGCCAATTTGCTCGTCGCCGCGGCCGAATTCGCCCCTCGCAACCCTGGTCAGATGGCACCACGGGGGAGGCCTGGAGAGGAGTAGTGGCATCGGCAAATGCCTGTTTCCCCCATCCTTGTTGCTGTACCACTTCGTCGTGGACACAGTCACCTTCAGGCCGTCCGCGGTCTGAGACTCCGCGACGAAGAAGCTGTCGTCGGGCACCTGCGCAAGCCTCTCCCATGGGGTCTCGATGGCCGCGCCTTGGGTTCGATCCAGCACTCGGAGGCCCAGGAACTTGTCGGTCTCGTTCTCGGCGTGCGACCTGAGGTAGGAGCGCACCTGCACTGCCTTGCTGTGGAAGAGACTGCCCGAGACTTCCACCTCCGTGATGTACGTGGTGCACGGCTTCCCGTACTCTGGGCGGATGGAGGCCGTCAGCTCCACGAGAGGGGGCTCGCTGGTGGCCTGGGGGATGCGCAGCAGGGTGAACTCGCCACCGTGATTCACGTCAAAGTGCTCCCCATGCAAATTGACCAAATGTGGATCCCCCCTGGCCGAAACTGTCGGAGCTGGAGTCGGAACCGTCCACGTGGGTGGAATGCATATTCCTAGTCCTGCGTTGCCATCGAGGTCGCACAATTCCCCATCGGAGCACTCGTCAACGCCACATCCACATGGGTAGGCCGAGGAATAGCTTTGTCCGTCGTGTTCAGTACAGTCGGAGATCATCGAGTCGTACGGGTCGTACGAGTCGTTCACGCAAGGCTCAAAATCAAAGCACGTGTCGTTATCGACGGTGGTTTTGCCAATGATGGTCACTATCTCGTAGTGGCCTGGATCGGGGTTGCGCGTCGCTATGACCACTCTGTCGCCTCTCGTCAAGATTTGCCCATTCTCATCGGTGTCTGAACTGACACAGGCTGAGCAATTCCCTGCATACAGAGGTTCCTTGAGGAACGCCCCTCCGATGCACACGTCGAAATCTCCAAAATCGTCCCGACCGGGAGGGCATTTGGTGCACGCCTCCGAGCGACGGCGTCTTGTTTCCCCATTAGTGCACGCGACGCAAACGCTTGTGCCTGGAGTATAATAAAATCCAAAAGGGCAATGCTTCGGCCTGGAGATCGGGAACATGGGCAAGAACTCACCCAAGGGGGATTCCACACACTCCTCAAAGCTCACGCAGCCGTCCCCATCAAGATCGAGTTCGTCGAAATTCCCTTCCACTGCTGGTATATATTTACATTCCGGTTCGCTGAGACAACCATCACCATCCTCGTCCACATACGGGAACCCAGCACATTTCTGATCGCACGGGCAAGCAGCCCCAGGCGGCAACGTCGGGGCTGGGGTCGCCGTCACGTTCGGCTCCTCGTGCAGGTACGTGATCTCCGCCGTCACGGCCTGCAGCACGCCCTGGCAGAACGTCACCCAAGTCGAGCTCCCCAAGGGGACACCATGGTAGTCATCGGTTTGGTAGTGCCCATAATACGAGCAAGATCGGTCAGAGTCCAGGTCGCGGACAGCTGTCTCGCTTGGCACACTGTTGTCAATGATCCACCTGGGCACGCGGCTGGCTCCTTCACGAACTACTCCGTCACATGATTCGTCAAAGTAAATATAGCTGCCGTGGAAATTGACGTAGATCGGCGCTCCCTGAGCGCTAGTTCCCGATATGATGAAGTTTGGGTCGCCTATCGATGGCCACGCGCATGGCCAGTCTACGTGGAGATACGATGGCGGCGAGCATGTCTCATTGGAACAAATTTCACTGGTTCCACACACAGCAAGTCCGCACGCACATGGGTAAGAAGCACTCGGCCCAGTGCCATTCGTGATCTCGCAAGCATCTGGCACAGGTGTTGGTAAAGGTGTGGGCGAATCAGTCTGCAACCTGTTGAAGTTAATGCTGATGCCTAATTCATGGACGGGCTGGGTGCAACTGGTGCCAACATCATGTCCGTCTGTGTCGTTACAAGGCGCGTCAAAAAGATCGCAGTGGCCAGGCCAGAAGGCATCTGAATGAACACCAATCGACCTGCAACTAGGGTACAGGTTGCACGCGGACGCGCATAACAACGGAGTCTCGTACCCTGTGGCTAACGACTGTAGTATGTTCCCACACTCGCAATTGCTGCCCGTTTGGATGTATCCAGCAACATTCCATGAACCATTCGTTTGATTAGATCCATCCATTCGTGTCGCCACGGCACGTTCCGTTGACTCCGCTGCCGCCCGTGATGGCAAGGGTATTGGCTCACGAATCGTTACTGCCCGCGCTGCACAAGGCTCAGGGCACACGTTAGAGAACCTGGCTATGCCATGAAGGTACCGCTGGAAGTCCTCGAACTTGGAACTGTTGGTCAGGGGAGAGAACCAATCTGGATATTTTTGGACGCCCGACTTCATTGCCCAAGTGACTTTACTGTAGCATGCTTCACCCTCGACCGACGTATGACAATGTTCAGGCAACTGTGGTGGTACTACGACCTCTACCGCCTGCGCTGCACAAGGCTCAGGGCACACGTTGGCGAACCTGGCTATGCCGTGCAGGTGCCGCTGGAAATCCTCGAAACTGGAGCTGCTTGTAAGAGGAGAGAACCGTTCCGGATACTTCACGACGCCCTTTTCCATCGCCCATTTCACTCTCCGGTGACACGCATCGCCCTCAATGGGGGCGTGGCAGCTGTCCGATTCTGGCAGCTGCGCTGACCCTGGAGCTTCCAGCTTCCGCGCGGGACAAGGCTCTGGGCACACGTTGGCAAATTTGGCTATGCCATGCAAGTGCCGCTGGAAATCCTCGAAACTGGATCTGTTGGTCAAGGGCGAAAACCAGTCTGGGTATTTCAGAACGCCCATCTGCATCGCCCACAACACTTTGTTGTAGCAGTCGTCACCTGCGACTGTGGTTCGGCAACCCATGTTTGGCTGCATGCCGTAATCGTGCGACGCATTATCCATGAGCTGCAAGTCGGCATACACTCCACAAATTAACGCGAGCGCCACCACTATGCGCTGCCTCGGTTGTGTTGTGATATCGATCATTGATCCGGCTTGTGCCAGATCGGGATATGTATCGACGTATACAGAGAAATGTTTGAGCGAAGCCCGACTGGCCTCTACTGAAGTGGAGTTGAGACAACCTGACTCTCGGGCCCAAGGGGCGGCAGATGTGGGAGGGTAACTGGACAGCGGAAGGAGAAAAGCGAACACTCAGTATGATATTTGTGATGATGGTCCATGGGTCCACACGCAAATCTGCAGATGTATGTGAAAATCTGTGTCCGAATGCGCATGCATTTATGTGTGTGTGTGGGTGAGTGTGTGCGCGTGTGCCAGCGTGGAGCCCCAAAAAGGGGTAACTGAGCTGCAGGCGTACACTCCACGTCGTGCGATCTAAAGAACGATGTCCAGAATGTCAAAAAAGCAATCGTCGAGTCCACTGCTCGCGCAGACATGCCCACCCGTCCGCAACCTTGTTGCAAAACCCAGCTGGTCGGCGACAACGATGGGCACGATGACACGGGTGATGTACATGACAACGGTGAGGATGATGTCGATGACGACGGCGACGATGGTGATGTGTCTTAGCCTGGTGGTGATGCAAGTGGCGCTGGTGATGACGAGGCGCTGGTGCTGATAATGATAACGCGAAGTGCCCGTCAGCAAGACCATGACGATGGCGACGACATCGACGATGCCCGGAAGCGCTGGTGATCCGGGAGATGGCGACGAAGATGATGATGGTGGTGATGATGATGGTGATGATGCTGATGATACTGATACTGGTGATGGTGGCGATGATGGTGATGATGCTGATGATGTTGATGACGACGACGCTGATGAAGCTGATGGGGATGATAAGGATGACATTGGTCGTAGTGATGATGGTTATGATGAAGGTTACGATGATGCTGCTGAGGATGGCGCTGGTGACGCTGACGGTGATGATGATGATGTTGTTGATGATGATGACGGTGATCGCACCAAGTTTATGACGATGACGATGATGAAGATCTGTCACGATGAGATGATGGGAAGGTGCGCACCCGCAGAAACGGCAGGGTTAGGACACCTATGCTTTTTTGCAGCACTTCGGTGCTCGCGCGCGGCGAGACAACGTTGGAAGCGCGAGGGCGGGGGAACGTTCTCGACATGCGCGCGCCAAGTGGCCCGCGTGGCCTCGTTCGACAGAGTGGCGGGAGACCACCGGTTTTCTTAGGTCGGGCATGTGCCCCTACAGGGGGATTTTGCTGGACAGATCAGAACTATCAAACAAGTGCACTGAAATGGTCTAGAAATAATGGAAGATAATCGTCCCCTGATTGTGCTTCTGACTCTTTGTGGATATCCCTCCTGTAGAGGGACAGGCCCGACTTACGTAACGGTTTCCTCATGAGTTCAACGCCTGCGCTCGCGGAAGCCGGGCAATTTTTGTTTCTGCTGGTCGGGCACGCACGGGCCGGGCTTTGTGCGCGGCGAGGGCTCCCGAGAGATGGCTCCGAAGATGGCTCCGAAAATGGCCCCGAAGATGGCTCACGAGAGCCAAGGGTTTTTCTTTTTTCCGCGAGGACACCACTTGTGCCCGACCACATGCACTAGGCAAGGTCGGAATTACCCGAAGGCCAACCTGCAATAAGCGAGCCGACACGCAAGACCTTGGCCAGTGCAGGCCAGACTCACAAGAGGAGAAGGTGGTTCCGTATGACTCCTGGGATAAGTCAATCAATCCACTCCCCCCATAATAAGCATCCCCGACGCGCGAAGGCGTCTCGTAAACGAGCCCAACGAAGGAATCGAACGGGGCGGGGCTGTTTAGTAAACGCCCAAGACCGATTAGTAAACGCCAGTTGTCAGGTCTGGGTGGTCTTGCCTCCCTCGAAAGAGGCCCCAACAGGACCACAACATGGCTCCAAATGCTCTCTGAGCCGCCTCAGGAATTCTCCAAAAGTCCCGGATCCTGCAAGGACTGAGTGATCATCGATGGTTGTTGCTTTCTCGCCTGTTCGTTTCTGGAAAGGTTTCGAGGCTTCAAAATTGCCGCAAGAGGCCTGAGAGAGCCTCAAGAGGCGTCCAAGAGGCCCCCAAGGCGGCCCCGAGACCGCCCACGAATGCACCAAGGGCGCCCCAAGAGAGCCCCAAGAGACGATTTGGATGGCTCCAGAAAGGGGGGGGACCGATGACACCCCGCTTTTGGTCGACGCTCTCCAAGCAGAACGCAGCCCAAGATTCCCTTCAAGGCTCCCAAGAGGCCCCCATAAAAGGCTCCGAGGGAGCCCTCAGACCCTCCTCCTCCTCCTCCTCCTCCTCCTCCTCCTCCTCCTTCTGGCTGCCCCGGCCCTCCCGCTGCTGCTGGGCCCTCGATGCCCTCGGACGCGGTCGTTGGGCCCGTGCGGCCCGTGGTGGTGGACATCAGCACGCTCTCGCGGGAGCAGCTCGTCGCGGAGACGCTCGCGATTTTCGAGGCGGCTGACAGCACGTGTGGCTTCTCTTCGGCGATATTCGACTGGATGGAGGACGTGCTCCTGCGCGCGCAGCTCGTCAAGTTGAGGTCCGAGCTTTGAGAGGCTGGCCTTCCTGGGCCCCACTGTCGTCTTTTGGTTGGGCCGCTGCTTGCATGCCCCAGGCGCGCAGTGGGTGATCCCAGGTTGGCCCTTCCTGTCGGTCGGCATCACGTGCGCGCCTCTCACGGAAGCGCGGTTGATGTCTGGCCGTCGTGCTCCATATCGTAGGGCTGTGTCGGTGAGCCGACGCTGCCTCGATACTGCTTCCCTGATTCCCTCCTCCTCCTCCTCCTCCTCCTCCTCCTAATCGGCGCCTCCTCTTCCTCCTTTTGCTGCGCCTCCTTCCCCTCCTCCGTCTCCTCCTCCTCCTCCTCCTCCGCCGCCGCCGCCGCCTCCTCCCCCTCCCCCTCCCTCCTCCCCCTCCTCCTCCTCTCCTCCTCCTCTCCTCTCCTCCTCTCCTCCTCCTCTCCTCCTCCTCTCCTCTCCTCCTCCTCCTCCTCCTCCTCCTCCTCCTCCTCCTCCTCCTCCGCCCTCCTCCTCCTCCTCCTCCCTCCTCCTCCTCCTCCTCCTCCTCCTCCTCCTCCTCCTCCTCCTTATCCTGCAAAAGAATTCCAAGAGGACCCCAACTCGCTCGAAAATCGCAGGGCAGCCAGAAAGCCCCAAGAGGACCCCCAGAGTGCCTCCAGGAGATCCCAAGGTCTTCGTCCTCCTCCTCATCTTCGTCGTCTTCCTCCTCGCCCTCGTCTGCCTTCTCACCTTCCCAGTCCTCTTCATCGTCCTCTTTCGCATCCTGGTCATCCTCCTCGTCCTCTTCCTGATCCTCCTCTTCGTCCTCGTCCTGATCATGGGTCTGCTTAGGCTGATCCCAAACTTGTTGCACTGCATGCTTCAAAACTACCCTGATCCAGGAAAGCCACCTGGGCATCGTTCGAGGATAGGCTGGTGGGCATACGCTAAGCATCAAACATTGCACTCCGAAAAAGGCAGAGGGCGATAAGTCTGGGCTTGGGAGGGGGCTGGAGTCTACTGCCTTTGAAGAAAGGACGGCTTGCGGCACACATGTTTGCCATGCAAGGTATCGGGTGCTGCCCGTGCGGTGCAACGCACGCGGAGAATATATATATGCAATGCCATGTGTGTGTGCGCACCGATACCTGCCCGCACATGGGGCCGCCACGAGGCGGCCACGGGCGGCCGCTGGGGAAATGACGCCAAAGCAGGGCGCAGACGCACAGCATCCCCTCAGCGCAGTCACCAAGACCAGACTGCCGGGAATCGGGCGCTCATGGAAACTGGGATGCACCACGACTCGAAAAGGCAACTGAGCCCAAGCCAAGCAAGCATCGACCTGCTTCGATCGTGGCGTCGGTGGGTTGCGAAGGACTGCGAGACACACGCACCCAGCGAGGACACGAGGGTGGAGAGGAAAGAATATCCTGAAATAACTGGACGCATGGTGATTACGGATCAGCACGCGACAGACATGGCTCCAGGAGTAAGCGATTCCAATGCTTCTCCTGTTTCTTCCAAAGGTCAAGCCTTATTGTTTGTCCACGACAACGCAACGCGATGAGGCAAGCCTGAGCACCCTGGAAAGGAGGGAGGACGACAACCGCGAAAAGGCAAGGACTGGGTGAGGAAACTAGTGGCAAGTAACACGGGGTTCGAACCTTTGTCCGCCCCAAGGTGGAAAGTGGAAAGAGGGCCTGTGTGGAGCGGTGGCTCACCACTACAACGTCACGAACTGAACTTTCACGGGTTCGATGCGGAGCCCGTCTCGCGGCAGGACAGGCCGGTATACCGCTGGAGCCAGGGAGAGGAAGAGGGCCCAGCCTTCGATGTTAGATAGCTGCGTTGCTATACTTCGAGGCATCGACAAAACCCGCACCGCACCCACAAGGTATGGATACCGCAACTACTCGCACACACCCGTGCACATACCCCATTAAGCTTACATGCCTACGCAGACGAACAACACTGTGTTCAAACATGAAACATTCACCGCGATCCGCCTCTACGGACATACGATTCTGTCAACGACACACTGGTGTTGTTTCGTTTTGAATCTCCTCCCGGGGTCTGCTGCGCAGGTCGCTAAACTGCACAACACGGAGGGTCCAGCAGTACAAACACTGGCAACGCCGTGGAACGCAGATTGAGACAGCCCCGTGTGGGAACCAGGAGGTGCCTATGCTCGTTCAGCTGGTTCCACGCAG